ACAAAATATGTATTAGATACATATGTAGGCGTAAATAAAAGCATGTATGTACGCTTTCATTTACCATCAACAGGTATTTGTTATGTTGTGATACTTCTTTCACTTTCAAACGGATTTTATCAGTGCTTACTAGGGAGATAGGTTTGGTTTTGTATCTACAGAAACATGGGTACACACGAATCAGTATCTGTGTTTATTTTTCAATAGCTTGAACACAGATTCCCTAGTCAATTAAATAAGAATTCAGTTCAAAAATACCATTTTAAATAGTAGTTTTAATTTTAACTATAACAATTACAAATTTCAAATCAATCCCAGTCTAAGTAAAACACTTTTCAACCGCTGAATAAATAACTTGTTTATTAGAACTGTCGCTTATTCATTGATAAAAAGAGGCATTTTATAAACATCACCGAGCTTTCAAAATGAATCCCAAAACATAAGTCCATGGAGAATTATAACCATGTCTTTGAGGCTCATACCACTAATTAAGCCAGTGAACCTCTTTGTAAATTCCCTTTGATCTCTGTTAGTTTGTGCTGATTGTCACCACATACGACATTGTGATGAGTCTTTTGTAGAGATTACCACGACTTGACTTGCTAATTAACTTGACAAATTCAAATTCTCAATCTGAAGTTATGGGTTGGCTGCATTTGACACTGTTGTCTTTACAAAGTGCACTTATCCTGGTCCTGGGAGTTTTCCAGGGTAGAAACAGCTTCCTGGCAGAAGACACAACTGAGGGTGGATGGATCAAGTCTTCCACGCAAAAATAATGATAGACGAAACGCCACCGCCATGCAGTTGTGATATGTCTGACTAGGAATTACATTGTTTAATGATTTCTTTTTAATGGTTTTTCTTCATTAAATGCTAAATCGTCATAGTATGACTGAATCCAAACTTCGGTGACATTGTGTATGTATAGTCAATGCTTAGAGCCATTAGCTCAATCAATTTTAACAGACACCTTTCTCAGGTTAGATTTTACTTTCAGATCAATTAACGCAAACACATTGTAGGCCTACCACAAAATTTAAAAAGACAAAAAAATTGTTTCTCTCTTTAGATGTCTGAAAATATACCATAGCCAATATAACATAGCCTACATTTGATGTAAGTATAAATTTATGTATAGGCCTACAACGTTGATGTATTACAGATTTTTAGATGATAAAATATCAATGAATTAATTAATCTCTGTGAACTAAGGCGAGCCGGTGGCCAGTCGGTAGCGTCACGGTCCCGATGTCCGTCCATACTATCGAAGGTTGTGTTATATACTTCGATGGTCCATACCTGATGTAACCATTGACATAAATTCATGCGCAGAGATGTCGTGGGTTCGATTCCTGGTACCATAGACAATGGTATTCCCTTGTCTGTGCTGGTTTCAACCTCTACTTTTTATCAATACATTTCACCCTTGTACTGTACCGGTTCACCACTAGCTTTGCTGGATAGTGGATACGTTCCATGCACAGGCCTATGTGGCCCATGTGGACGGTGAAATGCATGGGAAAATAGGCCACCAACCTTTAGTGACGTTTACTTACATTACTAATTAGCTAACGCCTTAGTTAAACATATTTTGGAAAATTGTTTTTAAAAACACAAAAATAGTAATTCCACACTTAAATGTAAAAAATAATATACAACAAACCCATACAAAGATCTGAATATCTTTATCGCTCTCTATGAAGCAAACTCGGGTTAACAGAGAGCTAGGGATCAAAGCTAATTACCACGGAGGTTAAACGCAACCAATTAGTGACAGAGCCCAAAGGGTGACAAATATACAAAGCAAAACCTTCCCCTGACTCAGCAATGTTGAAAACCCAAGTCTGGCATTTATGACGAGTCTGTAGGAGTAGTATCCTTTGTTGCTCAGGTTGGCAGTCGTGAGTTGAAATGCTTAGGGACTATTGAAACAAACAAAAAGGAAGAAAATTACATCTAAAAAGTAAATTGAATGCATTCAGATAAATTGTAGTTAAACTTGTTTTACCTGTATGGACGAGTTAACATTCACCAATTAAACAATAGAATTATAGAGACTTTTATTCTTCAACTTACGTAGATGGCAGACTATTGTAAAAACACACAAAATACAAACCCATCTCTTAAATACATGATCGTCACTAAAGGTTTTAAATATTTGTATAATTCCTTGTGCAACTGTTACTAGGGCTGCCACACGTGCTAGACCAAACATCGAACTACACAACTGGCAATGTTAGAGTCTGATGTAAAGTTCAATAAAATGTTTGTCATTATTCTCTAATGAAATAACTTGATACCTCAAAGAAAGAATAAATTAGATCAAATTATTAATGTATGCATGTTAAAAAGTAGGTAAAGTACAGAAAACATATACAGGACAAAATGGCTGCTAGACAATAAGGCTAGAGTATAGTGCCTTGAAGGATACATGCACGAGTAAGTATTCTTTTTCAATGAAAATTTCCATTATCTTAAAAACAAGATACAAAATATTGAAAATATTTCTTGCATTTATTAAAATACACTAAACGCTCTAAAATGGTAAAGCTAAAAAACGTTTAAGGATTTTAGTCATACTTTGATTTACTGTGAAATAAGTAACAAAAGGTCAATACTGTACCATTATAGAAGATTTATTTCCACAGATCCTATATAATATAACTTTTTTTAATTTTTTCTTTATTTTTAATTATTTGTTTATTGTGTTCTTTCGTCCGTGAAGTGGTCTCCCCACACTCAGATGTACAGTCTTTGTGGGGAGTTTTTCCTTTGTACTATTTGTTCTTAATCCAAGATTGTAATCTATGGATTTAGGAAATAAATAATATTCTTATTCTTATACTAATAGTTGTGTTCATTCCATGGCACTACTTGTATATTAGTAGCCGCACCGCAGATCGTTCTATAAATTGACCTATCCAACCGTGTGATCCGATCTTCGATGGGAGCCAATTGTAATTAGTAGCAGTTCTATCTTGGACCTAGTCCAGCAGATAGGATTTACTTACATCTACAGTGCAGCCAGTTCTCAGCAGACTGGCGAGATTCTAGACATACATATCGTATCGTTTCTCCATTCACCTCCAGCTAATCTAACTTGTAAAAACTTCTTTTAGTAAAATGTACTGATAATGATTTAACGTTCAGAGTTTTTAACTGAACTTGATCCCGTTCCTACCTTAAGGGACATTTTTATGGTTCGGAACTGGGCCCTGCTGTTCCTGAGCATTGAGCTCAAAATAAATAATCCTGGCTAATGAAGAGGCATTTAAGTTCTGTCTCCCAGAAGGCAGCGATGTCGGCGAGGATTGAGTTGAATGCTTCGCAGCCGCTATAATCCGCCAAGTAGGAATACATTATTTTGACACAAAACACTTAAAGCACATGATAGATCGCCCCCAATACAACCATAGTTGAATTGAATACTCACATTAAATCCCTGATTTGTTTTATGATGTTTTGTTATGGAGAATCAATAATAAGAAAGCTTGACGAAAATAACTTAGATTAGTGATTAGTTTAAAATTTGAGTAAGTCCAGCGGATAAGCTAGGCTATGACACAATTTTACTGGAAGTGTCCCTGTCCCTAAGCTACAATTCAATTAATTGAATTAATACGTTAATGTATAACCCTGATTATTTTATGTGTGTCCAAATAGTCCTCTATTTGAGTTACCTCTGTAAGATTTAAAAAGGTAAAACATCTTTAAAAAGAAATAAGTTTCTGTTCACTGTAATTCAGATATACATTCAGATAAACTCCGGTCATCTTTATTATCTAATTGACAGCAAGGTTGTCCTTGCCAAAAATAAAAGAACAACTAAAAAAAGTTATTTTAATAAGTCTATATTTTGGTCTAATTAGGTTCTATGTACTATCATAACTTTGAGGCTCATACAACTAATTATGACAGTAAACATCTTTGTTCATTCTCTTTGATTTGTGTTAATGTTTGTGCTGATTGTCGCTAGAGGTGACATCGTATTGAGTCCTGTGTAGAGATTACCAATTTAACCCTGAAGGGTGTATTGCATTTATGAAGGGAAATAATAATTAATTAGGACAATGATCGCACAGACACATTATGAAATAAGATTTATTATTTTGTTGGAGAAGTACAGAATGATTCCTGCGTCACTAGTAAACTACTCAAAAAATATACAATCATCAAGTAAATCACAAAACGTACGTATTTTGTTAGTTTTTTAATATAAAAGATCTTAAGTACTTAAATAAATAAAGAAGATATATTATTAAATGTATAAAAAAATATATTGCAAATAATGTTTGGTGAAGTTTTCATAATATTATGTATTCTGTACACATTAATTTGGTATTGTAAAATATGAGTGATAAATGTATGATTTTTAGAATAATAACTTAATTTGTTAAATCAGTTCCCACGATTTTAACTCTTTGTAAATTTTTACATTCAGCAATAAAATCTCACTCCCAAATTGTTCGTACAGATAGGGAATTAGACTGCTGAATTTTTATATTGTTTATGTAAATCTTTTAAAAATTATTGAATCTATGAGTGACTTGACTAAACATTATGACACACGTTGTACAACTTGGAAATTATTAGATGTTATCACAGAATAAGCAGTGAAATTATCTCCGTGTTTATTCCGTGATAATACATTTCACTTTTGTATGGTAACGTTCGGTTTAGATTCAATTGCCATTGCGGAATCAGTCAATCATCTGTATCAGCTGATCACGTTAGAGATCAGCAACAATGCCAGAGTTGATTGATAAAAGCCTGATAATCAACATAATTTATGTGTCAAGAGTGAAATATTTATGTTACACGCACTGTATATAAATGTAGGCCTAACTGTGCAGAATAAATGGTACTCTTAGTTTTTTGTCTTACTAACAATGAATTTCAAATAAAAATATGAAGTAAAAATTACAAAGAAAACCTTAACTTGAAAGGGTACAAAGAATAAACTTACTTCATGCTTTGACATGCTATGACGATAATCTTTAGCGATTCGCTGTTACCATATCGATAAATGGTTGCAGCCACTTGTCCTCGCACTGTTGACACTCAAAAGCGATCAAATCCAAACCTGACGGTGCGAACAACTTAAAAGTCACTCGCACACCTGCTGACATAGAACTAGTGCTTCGTTCTTCAAAGTAATTACCACATGTCTTGCATTTGCTTAGTGAGCTTATGTCACGTGTTTCACTAGGTTTAGAGCTTGAACAGGAAAATGATGATCTAGAACTAAAATTGGAAGAACTTGCGTGAGAACCTGAAGTAGAAGTACTCGAACTAGGCACTGAAAAACCTGCGTCAGCACCAATATCAGAAGCACTCAAACTGGGATCTGAAAAACTTGCTTCAGCACCAATATCAGAAGCAATCGGACTGGGATCTGAAAAACTTGGCTCAGCACCAATATCAGAAGCACTCGAACTGGGGTCTGAAGAACTTGCGTCTACGCCAATTTCAGAAGCACTCGAACTGGGATCTGAAGAACTTGCGTCTACGCCAATCTCAGAAGCACTCGAACTGGGATCTGAAGAACTTGCGCCTGCACCAATATCAGAAGAACTAGGACTGGAATCTGAAGAACTTGCCTTAAACCCTGCAGTAGAAGAACTCGAACTTGAATTTAATGAACCTGCGTCAACAGATGAACTCAAACTGTGATGAGGAGTATCGGAACAATAATCTCTTGATTGGCTATCCATTTCTTAAGGATAATTTCAAATTAAACGCGCAAACTAAACTTGACGAGTCTTGCCGGTAGCAGTTTGAAGACTAACACGTATTGCTCGACAGCATTCTGATATAGTTCTGGTCCATGTAAATATTGCATTTAATACAAGAATAGATATAGACTTGTTTGTTCTTTGATTTCTCTATTCTATCACAAATGTGAGAGAAAAATAGATACAGATGATCAACGTTGGTTCCAAAGGTTCTTCCAATAATATGGATTTGCATTAACGATAATGACCAATAGAGATACATCAAATATGAGTCTTTGACTTTATTTAAATTGCCCATTGATTCTATATCAATAAAGACATCATTGTAAGGATGCACTCATATGTAGTTTAGAAATTAATCATTTAGATTCTTGAAACATGATTACTGTATGAAATACTGCCATCGTATATAAACCATTGAATATTAGAATGATGTTTTCTAATTTACCTTTACAAACATTTACTATAAAGTAAAACCTTTTTGCAAATAAGTACAGTTTAACTAATATGATTTTAAATATTAAGACTTTTTATGTATTGTATTAAAAAAAAAAATACGAAATCTTATACAGGGTTAATAAAAAGTCTGGAGACTCCCTGTCAATTTTTTAACGGTCCATACTAATATAATTAAAATCTGTACACCTTTATGGCATGATATGAACTACTTTTTGGGTATAACTACCACTTCGTGCACATTCCCAAAAAGGGGATTTCGGTGGAAACTCAAAAATTTCAAATAGTAAGACCTATCGAGTGATACCTCATTTCGAAGGTCCTAATAAAAGAAAACCAACAACGCTAACTTGGTGTATCTATCTCAACCCAGTAAAAAATTGCAGTCAATTTAAATTCTCAGAAGTGAAATTTAACTTGTAGCTTTCCAAGTCTAGAGAATCCCTGTGAATTTTGTAACAGCTCACACTACAAAAACTAAACTCAGCACACCTTGGAATGTTATGAAGTACTTTTTGAGCCTAGCTGCTACTTGGTTCGCAAACCAAAATGGGGAATTTTGGGGGAACTCATGATTTCAAAATGTTAAGCCCCACCGAGTGACCCTTCATTTTAAAGGTTGTGATAAGAGAAAACTAACAACGCAAACTAGAGGTATCCATCTTTAACCCAGTAAAATATGACAGTACGTTGAAATCTTTACAAATTAGAATTTAGACTTCTAAGGATTTCAATTGGCCGCCATATTTTACTGTGTTAAGACAGAGGACCTCTAGTTTGCGTTGTTAGTTTTTTTTTATCACGGCCTTCAAAATGAGGGGTCACTCGATGGGGCATAATATTTCAAATTCTTTAGTCTCCCCCAAGATTCCCCATTTTGGGTTTGCGAACCAAGTAGCAATTTAGGCTCAAAAAGTACTTCATAACATTCCATAAAGGTGTGCAGAGTTTAGTTTTTCTAGTGTGAGCCGTTACAAAATGTACAAGGGTTCTCCAGACTTGGAAAGCTGTATGTTAAATTCACTTCTGAGAATGTCAATTGACTGCCATTTTTTACTGGGTTGAGATAGAGACCCTTAGTTTGCGTTGTTGGTTTTTTTTTTATCAGGAACTTCAAAATGAGGAAAGTTGTTCATAACATAGAGTTTAGTTTTTCTAGTATGTGCAGTTAAAAATCTTACAGGAGGCCTACAGACTTTTTATGAACCCTGTATATTTAAAAACGTTTGCAAAACGTATGACAGCTAACCTGACCATACTACTGGACCACGGGTTGTACCAAAAGAAAGTTTATCATTAGATAACCTCTAGAGGTGTCACTAGATGTGCAGGTTTTATTTTTATTTTGAAAATATTTATGTTAATTGGGTCAACAATGGAAATTAAACATTTCTTATGGAGATTTAACATGATGTTAAATAATAGACAAGCATGTCTACTGAAAACCTGTTTTCTCCACTCCTGTGCATCGCAGGGTAAATCTACAATGCCGTTAGAAATATATTTGCCTTTAAATGTGCAGAATTCATTTATAAATAAAAATTGGCTCAAAAATAAGCACAAAAAATTAATTAAAATTTTTGAAAAAATTCACACGGGCCTTTTGATATGCTTATTTTGACACTCCACACTTAAAGCACATTATAGATCACCCCATATTCCACCATTATTGTATTAAATTATCACTCACATTAAATCCCTGATTTTTTTATGATGTTTTGTTATAGAGAATCAATGATAAGAAAGCTGAAGGAAAATAATTTAAATTAGTGAATGGTTTAAAATTTGAGTAAGTCCAGCGTATAAGCTAGGCTATGGACACAAATATTTTACTGAAAATGCCCCTGTCTCTAAGCTACAATTCCATTAATTGAATTAATACGTTAATGTATAACCCTGATTATTTTATTTGTACCCAAATAGTCTTATATTTGAGTTGTCTCTGTAACAAGGTTGTCTTTGCCGGAAATAAAAGAACTGAAAAAAATATTTTAATAATCCTATATTTTGGACTAATGAGGTTCTATTTACACTATCATACCTTTGAGGCTCATACCACTAACTATGCCAGTAAACATATTTGTTCATTCTCTTTGATTTATGTTAATGTTTGTGCTGATTGTCGCTACAGATGACATTGTGTTGAGTATGTGTAGAAATTACCACTTTAACCTTGGCATTAACCTTGGCAGGGTGTATTGTATTTATGAAGGGAAATAATAATTAGGGAAATGATCGCACAGACACATTATGAAATAAGATTTATTATTTTGTTATAGAAGTACAGAATGATTCCTGCGTCACTAGTAAATTACTCAAGCAATATACAATCATCAAGTGAATCACATAACCTACGTATTTTGTTAGTTTTTTAATATAAAAGATCTTAAGTACTTAAATAAATAAAGAAGATATATTATTAAATGAAAAAAAATATATTGCAAATAATGTTTGGTCAAGTTTTCATAATATTATTTATTCTGTACACATTAATTTGGTATTGTAAAATATGAGTGATAAATGTATGATTTAGAATAATAACTTAATTTGTTAAATTAGTTCCCACGATTTTAACTCTTTGTAAATTTTTACATTCAGCAATAAAATCTCACTCCCATTTATATTGTTCGTACAGATAGGGAATTAGACTGTTGAATTGTTATATTGTTTATGTGAATCTTTTAAAAATTATTGAATCTATGAGTGATACTTGACTAAACACTATGTCACACGTTATACAACTTGGAAATTATTAGATGTTATCAAAAAATAAGCTGTGAAATTGTTTCCGTGTTTATTCCATGATAATACATTTCACTTTTGGATCGAAACATCCTGTTTAAATGCAATTGCCATTGCGGAATCAGTCAATCATCTGTATCAGCTGATGACGTTAGAGATCAGCAACAATGCCAGAGTTGATTGATAACAGGACTGATAATCAACATAATTCATGTGTCGAGAGTGAAATATTTATGATACACGCACTGTATATAAATGTAACTGAGCAGAATAAATGCTATTTCGCGAATATGTTTTCACTAATAACGAATTTCAAATGAAAGTATGAGTTGAACATTTCAAAAGACAACCTTAATTTGAAAATAACAAATAATAAACTTACTTTATGATTTTTTACTATCATATTCAAGACTCCAGACTTTGTAGTGGGGATGGGTAGCAGGAAAATATTTCAGTTCTGGCGGGGAGCATGCAACTTGGGGTGGTGATAACATATAAGCCTAAGAATGTAAAACCGCCCATACCCCAATTTTTAAGGACCTCGGTCGTCCGTAATGACGTCATCAAATTGGCGGCCATAAGAGGATGCTGGGTTGTCTTGAATTGGTTATAACAACCAAATGCCTGAACCGATTTCATTAAAATTAAAACATATAAGTACTTGAATACATTATCTCGGTCCAGGTTGTCAATGGTCGAGTTTAATAAAATCGTTTCAAAATGGCGGCTGTTAAAAACTAAAATTATAAAAAACCTTCAGTGTTATGTGTCTCAACTACCTCCAGAGATCTGCAGCAACGTATTCATTTTCCTTTACATCACAGGTTGTGATGCCGTCTCTGCATTTCATGGGACAGGCAAAATCCCCCCATCACAGCAAACCTGCAGACTAAGTGAGTTTCCCTGTGCCTGATTTTATTTCAATTAAATCTATTTCAATAACATTAGGTTTCATGAGTACCTAGGTATGCTGCTACAGGGAGAGTTATAATGTGAGTTTTTTTATTAATATAATAATAGCTTAGCCTAAGATTAAACAAATTTGCTAGTTTCATCAAAATATAGAAACCTTATGACGACAATTACATGGAATAAATCTATGCACGTTTTGACCTGAAGATGTGTTTTACAACACGAAACGGCTGTAGTCAATTAACTACAAACCAGGAACACTTGACGGATACTGGTAATTTAAACCTTTTACTGTAAAAGTCATTGATCCAGAGGCTATACCATAAAAATTAAAATATATACATAAACAAGCAAACTACAACGGTTTATGTATTCTACGTAAGACTAACATGGACATTTCATATTTAAAAATTTTGAATTTCCTCCGTAACCCGTAACTGTACAAAAACACTTCATTGTATTTTTATCATAAACATTTTTACCCTTGGATTATTTGAACTTCATGAAACTTGGTATGTATGTAAAGGAAGAAGATACCAATCTTAGGTAATTGTTGAAAATTTACAATGGTGGCCTTTTTAGTTTATAAATTGAAAGTTACTAGAAATGAGTAGTAAGACATAATTTAAGATTTTTTTTATTAGCATTTAAAATTTCCCATCAAATGACACCAAGTTCAAAAAGATCGGATCGTGAGAGAAATAGCAAAAATATAACGATTTGTATTTGTAAAATGATGCCGTATATGGCTAGGCTAGTCAGGTTTATCTCATCGGAATATTTTAGCCCTTTTTTATTTGATCGTTTTGAACTGCAAGTCGTTTGATAGGATACTTTAATGGTAAATAAATGTGTTCTTGACACTTTTT